AGCCAAGTTGGTTCCAGTGGAGACAACACACCCCAAGGGGAGCGCAGGGGATGATATGGCAAACTCCCTCTGAATTTGAATAGGCTGGGTGTGTAAGTGTGCCTGTGCATATGCATTTGAGAGTGTGTGTGATGAGTTCGTGGCACCTGTGAGACTAGTAGTGAGTGGATGGACACGTGAAGGGGAAGCTTTTAGCCTTCTAGATGGACAAATGGATTCATTCTATGTTTCATGTCTGCCTGGTCAATGCAGTTGTTGTGCCTCTGGTAAAGAAATAACAATCTTCTGAGATCAATTTCTGAAATCTAACCTTAGCAACAGGAGGAATGGAACTCAGAGATCACATGATGCCAAACCACCATTTTAAAGCATCTGTCATTTTGTGAGGTTGTTTTTTTTTATGAACTTGATTGTGCCTTTTAATACTCAATTGGTTAAATAAGTAGTGATCAAAATATTTTCCACATGAAACAAAAGCTACATTGTGTTAAGCATCTCCTCTGCTTTAATGTCACTATCAGATTATTTATGCATTTATTGTTACTATGATCAACAGCATTCATTATTGTAATCAGTAAATCAATTAGCGCCACAAACTCACTTTTGTTCTTCTTGTCCTTTTTCCGATCTAATTCTAATTCTCTTCATGTAATTGACGCCTACTGTTACAACCTTTGCTGCGTGCCAGTGTGTGTGTAAATGTCTGCCACAGTATTTTTAGGCCAGTTGGAAATAGTGTGTTTGTGTGTGTGTGTGTGTGTGTGTGAGAGAGAGAGAGAGGGTAGATAAGCAGATTATTTAAGGTTATTAAGATTTCACACACAGGGGCGAGTCTACACTGTGTAGTTGCTGCTGTGTCTCTGCAGCGCCTCCATCGCATCTCCTTAGCGACTTGGCTGACACCTCTCTTGCGTACAGCTGCCATATGGTTGACTGGTGTGTTTTGTTGTCACCTGGCAGTGAAACTGACATTGTTAATGTCACATCGGGTCCAATTATAACAGCCTCATAAGCTGAAGCGGACACAATTACTGGATTCTTGTGGTTCTGAAAGGATTGAAAGCATTCTTTAAATGCGTAGTGTTTTTTCAAGTAAATGAAGGCTATTTAAGGAAGCATGCATGCAATTTATGGATTTTTCTATCATTAAAGTGGCTTTTATGTGGTATAGTATGCTTTTGAAGTGATAAAGGCCTTTACCTATGCAACTGTACTGGCACATTTATTCCAGTAATATAACAATAACATAACTTAAAGGATCTTAACTGCTTTTATACAACAGTGTTATCTTGACCTTTAAACATGCCTGAAATGCACTTTGACTATTTAATGTAGAGAGACTTGTTCCAAAAAAAACTATTACTGAGGGAACTTCAGCCAGACAAGTTGAGAAGCCAGGTCTTTTTTGGATGTATCGTGCAGAAGCTCATGATAACTGGCGAAATGATGTCAATTTAGACCAATGTAAAGTCAAGCTCAGATGTAGCCCTGAGACATCAAATGAGGCTAGCTGTCATTCTTCAGTGAGAGGTCAGGCTGTCTGACCATGTTATTGTGTAGGAGGTTTGGCTCCAAGTATGAGTTTCTGCAAATGGCCTTGTACTGCTTGCAAAGAAAGCTCTCTTCTGAGTTTTGTTGGTTTGTGATTCATTTGCAGTTGAGACAAGTTGATGGCTTTTGAATGTATGTATGTATTTGTGTGTGTGCGTGTGTGTGTGTGTGACTTGTTCGCTGTCATTTGTTATCACGACCATCATCTCCACCAGAAGCTGTTATTCTCTATGCATTATGTTGCGCCGTCAGCGAGGTAGACGTTTAGAAGATGTGGTTGTAATGATAATGAGCTGGGAGAGATTTTCTTTCAGGATCCATTTAGAAATCTTTAAGCTCTGCTGTGCTTTGCCCCATCTTATTAATCCACTTGCATTTTAACCAGCCTCACAACTCTATATTCCAAATGATTTCTTCGAAATGTTTAATGCATGTGTCTTCCTCACTAAACTTATACTCTTAAAAATGTAAATACGCTGACATGAGCTCTTGGGGTTAGCATTGTGGGCCCCAACAGTGCTTTTAGTCCGATTACCTTGGCTAAACTTTCTTGCAACACCCATGAGCTCCATATCCTCGTGTAGGGGCCTGCGGCTCGGCTCCAGATGGCCGTCTGGATAGACAAAGCCGTTTTACTGCCTCGTCCCTGCTACATTACTCAAACGTTATCACCCCTGCCTACAAAAATCCATCTGTGCTCACACGCTAACTTGAAGATCCATCATCTTGACACATGTATTGAAACAATGACAATAATGACAGCACGAGATGGATCTCAGAACAACACGATACACGTTTAAACTGGCAACTTTTGTCCTAAGATCGATTCTTGGAAATGAAGTTGTCAGCAGAAATTGTATTTTTTTTTGTAAAGGAGGAGCGTTTAAAGTTGTGCTCTCTACATATTTATACAGAGAAACTGTATATCTGGACCCATTGTTCTGCAAGCTTGACGGTTTTAATGAGGCCACAGAAGAGTTTCTCCTACTTAACTTTCTGTTGTGGTAGAGTTTCAGTGGGGATCAATGAAGGATTTAGAATAGGTTTAGGTTCCTCGCTCACTCTGTCTCTGTCTTGCTCACTCTGACACACAAGGATGCACGTATCCCCCCCCCACCACTCACGCACACACTTGCCTCAGCTCTTGCTGACTAATTGGGGACAGATGCTGAGTAGTGTGAACTTAGAGCTTGTTCTCCCTGTTTGTTTATCTGCATGTGTTCCAATGTTTGCCTGCGCATGCATGTGTTTGTATGTGTATGTTCACGCATGCTTAACTTAAGCTAATCAATCATCCACCTGCACTGATCCATAGTTCCTGCATAGACTGTCTATCCCTGGTTGTCTGCAGTGCTGCAGCCTCCTGCAGGCTTCTACTGCATAGACACTGTTTCCAAACAATGGAGTCTTCCTCCTGCTTTTAAAAAAAAAAAGCCTTTGTCTATCCCAATCACCATCTAGAGTCATCTTGTAGCTTCACTCCTATATTATTCTCAGTTTTTCATCGTTTTATCACATAAAACATTTCTCTTTGTACTCTCTCTCTCTCTTTGTCTCTCTACTCTCTAAGTTTAGGTCATATATTACAGGTCTTGTAGGTCAAAGAATTCTTTTGTGAGGAGTTTGATTTATTTGTGCATTTATATGTGCTGAACGCTTGAGAAGGCACTTGCTCTTGCATGGTTTGCCCTGTGGTGTGTGTGAGACGAGGCCAGTGACCAATGATTCTCTGACAAACGAGGTGTGCATGTGCCTCTACCAACCCATACATTACTGTCTGACCCTATCTGACCAACCAGACACCAGCTTTCTGGGGGAATTCAGAGGCCATGCGTACTGAAGCCCTGATCATTTTATATCATTAACGCTGTGAAAATCTTTGGTATATTTTCACTTTCCTTTACAGGGGAGTTTTGCTGTACACTGTTTGTACTGTAGCACACACTCACATCTGAGCGTTGCCTAGTATAACTAACGTCTTGCACTAGTGGCACCGAGCAGCTCCACTGGAGCACTTTTAGGTTAATTACCTTGCTCAAAAGCACCTTGAGAGTCATACAAAGCTTTCCAAAGTAAGTTCCCACGGCAGATCTTACCACCCAGTTAATGTCGAACCTATTGATGCAAAGTTATTGTGTTGCTGTTCACAAGTCTGTGTCTCATTGCTCCTGTGATAACATTTCAAACATTTTGTTGGTGAATTAGCCTCCGTTCACAGGTGGTTTTATGTTGGTGCCATATCTTAGCTGTTTTAATGTTTGATTGTCTTCATTATTCTTCCCAGGTTCATTCAGGAGATAGAGATGAACATGGGACCAGGCCAAGCCAAGCAGTGCCAGCTCCGAGCATTCCTCACTTACTACATCAATGACCTCTTCCTCAACCAGGTTAGTGGAATGACAAATTGATGCCTCTTATACTGTCTGACAGAGTGGCATACCAGCACTCAAGGCAATGTTTTAGTGGAACATTGGAGCTTTCCCAGAAAATACAATTTTTCATCATAAAAACCTCAGCTATGAGGCACTGGTAGCACTAAATAAAATAAAGATATTTGTGTAGTTTGTTATTGCAAGTCACAGTCTGTTCTTGGGACTTAATAGCTGGAACCTTTCATAATATATTAGATTTAAAAAACTGAAGCAATTCTGGTGCTCGAAGTCTTGTAAATCAATTGGCCTAACTGTATTGTACCCCAGCAGGATTTCGCAAAACTCATAGAACTATATAATACAATGGCATAGTGCTAGTAATCATAGTAAAACGTAATCTTCTAAACATTACCTCAATAGAATACCCGTTCTTCTAAATTTTATTTTCCAGACTGATGATTCTCCTCTTCTTCCTATGTGTTGGTACATGTTTACATAAAAAGAGAGAAGATTTCTACATTTACATAAAACACCTCTGCATCTTTTCATGTGTTGTTTGTTTGGTTTTAAAGCTGCTTTCGCTTTAAAACAGATGTAAACTTGCGTACAAGCACAATTGTAATTCTGCTTAATGCAACTGTTTGGCCCTCTGGCTTTAAAAAGAAATTTCAACTACTAGGTTTCCTAACAATGTGTTTTATCCAGACAGCCATCTGGAGCTGAGCTATTTTTTTATACATGAAATATTAAAAACTATTTTAAATTACGTTGGCTTTTGTTTATACTGATGGGAACATCATCTTCACCTTCGGGAAATGTTAAATCAAAACAAAAAGCACATATAATATAATATATATCCAAATTATTTGTAAAATTTTGTCGCTGAACCATTAGGTGCGAACAGAGATCAACAAGGAAATTGAGGCAGTGAGCAAGACAGCTGACCCCTTGAAGATCCTTGCCAACGCTGATACCATGAAGGTCCTGGGCGTCCAGAGACCCCTGCTCCAGGTGAGGAACATCCATCGTATACAAAACATCCAACATTCTCAAAACACCAAATATAGACTATAAGTCTCCTTTGTTTCAATACAACAGTTTAAACTGTGAACACTGGAAGTGAAAAACTTTTGACTTTTAGTGACACACACTTTTAGGATGTCCACATATGAGTAGTTACGGTATAGAGGCTTACAATTTATGTTTAGGCACCATTTCTCCTTTGTACCTGTGTTCAATGGAGGAGGGTTCTTTTGAGTACACTCACCTTGCAGTTCTCTGTGATGTCAGTTAGTTCAGGGGCAGGCGGACACTCACACACTTCCACACACATACTTTCACCCTCTCTGTTTTGCTCTCAGATCATTATGCCCACCCTGCCACCTATCTCACAGGATCATAATTGCGGTTGAAATAGTGCTTGATCTTTGAGTTTGTAGCTGTTGCTAACTGGTAGTTATATACACATACACACTTGTATCTACTATTCTCCCTTTCCCAGGGCCATTTTCTACAGATAGCAAGTCTGTGATTACAGTAACTGACCTAACCAAAGTAGTACAGGGTTTTTGGCTCGAATTCACTTTGCAGCCCCACATGACACCCACACACACCATACCTGTGTCACTGCACGACCACACTAGCAGACAAGGAATATAGTTTTACTGTGCTGTACTTATTTTAGAGATGTCTTTCTATGCAGTGCAAGCTGTGTTTGTGTCTAAGTATACATATGTCTACGCAAGAGTCATTATTTTCTTTGAAAACGGTCAGTTCACTCAAATCACATAAAAAACATATTCCCTCCCTTACTTCTAGTAAAATTTTGCAAAGTAATTTTTGTTTTCGATCTCCTGATGTTTTGAGATATCCACCTCTGAAATTGGTGCTGTCACCCCAGTACAACTGAGATGAATGGAATTTCATTCGCGCTGCTCAAAATTACATTTGAAATGTTTGTCCAAAGTCCAAACAGTCCAAATAAAAACTGTTAAACTCAGCTATGAACTAGAAATTTAACCAAAAAATGAACTGATATCAACTTCCTCATTAACTGCAGCACATTTAACCACAGGCTCATCTTGCTGATTTTGGCAGCCTTTCTTATTCAAAGCAGGCTCATGGCAGGTTGAAGATTACAGCAGTGCCAAAGTCAAGATCCAGACAGTTGGCAAGATTTTTCTATGTCTCAGCTGTCAGATATTCTGGATGTTTGGTGGAGTATGGCTCTCTATGTCGACAGTATTGTAAAAATGTACGTTTCTCATGCACACGTATTTTCTTTGACAGGTCTGTGTGTGATGTGTGTGCGTGTGTTTTTGTCCATGCAGTTGTCAAGGAAGACAGTGTCCCAGAGAGGTAGTTTGTTTGTGCTGTGGGTGTTTGTGTAGCAGACCTTGGATATGTGTTTGTCAGAGAGAGTGTGTGTGTGTCTGTGTGTTTTGCTGTGTGTTTGTTTCTGTCAGAGCCTTCCTGTCTGTGTGCCTGGTTCTCTCACAGGGAGGGAACAGCGGTGGCAGATCATTACAGAGAGAGAGACCGTGGGCGTTCGGAGTTCAGCAGGGTTTGTTTACGGCTCAGGCCCCTCCTTAACGAGGAGTGCAGCATCTTGCTAATTATGCTGCTGTGGCTAATGAGCCTTTCTGCTGATAGAGGGGAGTGCAATAAAACACTCCTTTTGTTTGGGCTTTTTGCCTTTTTAATTGGGCTAAATAAAAGAGCCTTCCGCTCTTCTTCTTCTGCCATTCACATTCGAGGGTCAGGATGGCATTTGTGTGTGATTTTTGGTAGTTTTTCATGTGTGTATTTGTATCTGTTTGTGAGTCTGTTTTTACCTGTGTTTTTGGGCTCCAATTTGAGAGCCTTCCCACTGTTTTCTTTGATGGCCTTTATCCACCGTGTCACTGTTATGAGAGACTGCTCTCTTCCTCAGTGTGTAGTTTTTATTCATTTAGTAGTCATAAGAGCTTTTGATAAAGGGCTTTGATACCCTTTTATCCAGAAGATATAAACTAAAGTAGGTTTTTGAACTGGGTTTACGCAAAGTACTATATGTCAGGAGCTTCTGGCTGGCCAGTTGGTAAATCTACCAACCCTGTGACTGCAATGGATAATTAAAGATTATAGTGACAGTACAATATAATGGTTGCTAGAGTTTCCAATAATGGAACAGATGTGGTTGTGTGTGTCTGTGTGCGTCTTTGTGTCTACATATCTATGCAGGGGTTTGAGTGTGAGCATGTTCGCGAGCACACATGTGTACTGTATGTGCTCCCTTTAAGTGCCACGATACTGTCTGTGCCAGGTGTTATCAGAGAGAGACACACACCGCTGGCATCAGAGCTGCTGTGGTTGACGAGAGGGAGAGAGCTCAATATTGCTACAGCACATTAAACACACTCTCATATACACCTTGGCTGGAGCCACATACGGGACACCACATGGGAGCACATTTTATAGACGCATCTGCTCTCTGCAACCACTGAAGCACATATTAATGTGTGCAATAGTTCGAATTTGAGGAAGACATTAGCGTTCAGCATGTGTGGTTTTGTATGTTCTGGAATAGAGCTGAAGAGTTTTGAACCAAGCACAAATGTAATAGCGCACATGCATATGCCAGTACACACAGATATTTTTTTTGTAACTCGTGGATAAACAGTAAGCCATCACTATCGCTGCTTTTACATATCATTTGTATTATTTTCTGACCCTCTGCTATATCATATGGGATAGTTTTACCTCTGACCTATTTTTGCTTCCCTCTCGCTGCATAAAGAGAATATTTATGGATGGATTTCCATAGCATTAACTTTTGAAGTGGACCCATATATTAAATACATCTATGTTATATGAATTATTTGACCTTTTGACAGTGATATCTCACCAGGAGAAATGGACAAAGTGACTTTATATAAAAACTGCACAAGAGTCAAGGTGAATATGATGCCTTATGTTTGCTTGAACAGCCCATAATAAGCAATACACATGCAGTCTGGGCTTAGGTTAATAAGTAATATTGATATGGGTAATGATTTGCCTATCACAAGGCACCAGCAGTGTCAATTACTGCATTTATAGATATATCATGTACATATATTACATAATAATGATATGATTATGTGCCTGACACTGGCTATATATTGTCCACTAGGAGCATAAGATAAGAGCTGACTGGGACAGTATATAGTTCAGTAGGAAAGGTTAACGTCCATTCATGGGTCTGTGTGATAGCGTAGCCATGGCTGATAAGTCTCTGAAGGAGCAGGGGTGTTGAAGAAGCGAGGAAAGCAACCAAGCCACAAATTTAAGTCTTCTTTATGTTTTTTTATGTTTTTTTTATTTTTTATTTTTTTTTGCTTATTTGATATCTGGCTTGCTTTCTTTCTTGCTTGCTTGATGTCTTTGTTGCTCTCTACCTTTCATCTGTTGTGACCATTATTCCCATGTTATTCTTGTTTTTCTTTCCTTTTTCTTTTTCATGGACTTGCATCCAACACACAAACATAGCCCTAGTGGTGTGATGCTATCTGTCCAGCTTTGGTGTTGCCACTGATTGATTCATTTAATTAGAGTTAGATCGAGGGAAAACGGTGGAGGGGGGGAGAGATGGGGAATAGAGAGAAAGAAGAAAGTAGGATAGGGAGGGTATGGTCACTCTGTTGGATAGCTCTGGAGATTGGCTCCATTAATCTTGGTAGACCCCCCCCCCCTTCCATGTCCCCTTTACAAGCTCAAGAAACACTAACATGCAAGCATACACACAATGTGCACATGCAGCGTCACACAAGCACAATGAGACAAACGCACCAAAACAACGAATGCGCGGCCACATTTCTTTGCCCAGAAGACAGCGGAGTTGAGCCTGCACGCCTGCTCGTATAAGAGTCCGTAAGTGCGGATGAATTGTTTATATTCTGCTTGTTTACTTCATCAGCCAAGACCACACCAGAGCCATAATTACATTTCACATTGGCCCTCTCTTTCCAGCGAAGTATCATTCAGCTTTGTCCCCTGTGTCTCCAAACAATAGCAGCTAACTAGTCCTTTTGTATCTGCGTATGTTTGTGTTTGTGCAATAAGTGTTTGTGCATTTGTTACTCATTCAGTATGTGCATGTATTTGCCTGTTTCTTGGGGTGTTTGTGTGCACACATAACTTGTTCTGGAAGCAGATAAAGACTGATTTCATTCACCCTCCGTCAGCTGCCAGAACGCTCACTGTATTGCAGATATGTTCAGCTGCCAATGGCCTGCTAATGAAGTTGACCTTTTTAAATTTTATATTCACATGTAGCTTTGTGAGGGAGGAGGGTGAGAACGGGCATACACACACATATACACGTGCCACTTGTGCATGCGCACGCACTTGCACATCCACCTCCAGTAACTGTAATGACACTGACCTTTTTATTTGTGATGATGTGTGTAGGCAATGTTTATTTGTGGGGGGCTGATCGCTTCCTGTTGATTGGCTCCCTGCTGCCCCCCCACGAACACCCCATCACACACATACACACACATTGGAGATTACAGCGTGTGTGTAGGGGTGTGTGGGGGTGTGTGGGGGGGGCTCTTTATTAAGGAGACTCTCAGCACTCTACTCCCATCAACAGACACAGCAATCACAACACAATACACCTGTTAGCTGCATCAGCCGTGCCCTGTGATTGGGACACAAGTGGGAGTGGGAGGAAGGAGGGAAAGAAGGTATTAGGGTGGTTTGTATACACACATGCACACACATGCACAACCCCAACAAACATTACCAGAAACAAAACCAAAAGCCATTTCCGGGTTTATTAGTAAAAAGAGAATCTTAGCGAAACTGCATAACACCCATTTTAACTCTGCCAAAATAGGCCTGTTCACAGTAAAATAAATAATCTAAATGCTTTTCCATTTAGTCCAAATAGTTTCTAGAGCCCTCTACTACATTATCTCTCATGAAATGGATTGTGCCTAAGCATCCAGTTGACAATTTTACAGCTGTTAAGAGTTATCAAGGAATGA